TTCCGTTTGATGTCGGAACAGGAGCGTTGTACGGCGTTCATGTCAACTTTGCGAATGCATCTCTTGATTCTACCAATCAACTGTTTGCAATTCATGGCTCTCCAGTTATTTTTGAACACCAAGGAGCTCAAAACCCCGAAGAAATCTTCACTGAGGCAGATTTTTCGGGTTGTGGTTTTTGGATACAAATGGGATCGAATGGGTATTCAGGAACGATTGTGTTTTTTTTTGGCGTAATGCGATGACGCTTTATCCGGCCAAAACACGTATTGTCCATCAGCATGATGTTTTTGTAGAAACGGGATCAAAATTTTCTTCAAACATTCGTTCTGGTACACATATTCATTGATTGCCAAACCAGAGGGCTTGAACCATGGCTTAGAAATGCCTTTCTCGGAAATTTTTGCGTCCATAATTTTGGCTGGTCTTCCACTACCTCGCTTGCGAGCAGTTATTGGGAATCTTAGGATATGACAAACAGTCGAAACCGCAACATTTTCGCTTTTAAAATGTTGTACCGTATACTTTTTGCCGAGATTTCTGTGCAGTTCGTAGAACTGTACAACGCGCTCGCGAAATACTTCTTGTTTCGACGGCATTTTGAGCAAAACTGAGCAAGCATAAACAAAACAGAAAATACTAGCAGAAAGAGGAGAGAGAGAGCTAACACATACACAATCTTATTTCTCTCTGAGCTCGTTTGTTGTTGAGCATGGAGGCCTCAAAAAAATTCCAAAATTTTAGTTGCCACCCGCTAGCGCGGAAAGTTTTGAATCACTGTATTTTTTTTTTTCCTTTGGTTTGTTTTTTCCGTCGATCTTGTTTTCCGTACTGAACACCAATGCTACCGACGTGCCAGGAGGGCAGCTCCCACACCTGGACCCTACCTATCGACCCATCAACTCATGAACCGGGGACCAACGGCTTTACTTCCCATCCGAAGGAAGGCGTGATCAGAGATGTTATGCCTCAGAACATCCCGGCGGCGCCGACTGGGATTGAACCCAGACCTGCTGGGGTGAGAGGTTATCACGCTTACCACTACACCACCGGCGCCGTTGAATGAATCACTGTAGAAAAGAAGTAAATCATTAAGTATCATTGCAGAAGGTTTGTAAGTTAAGAAATTTAGATCGAATGTAAAAATCTGGCGACTACGGTGGGCTGGGCACATCGTAATAATGTCGGATAACGACCCACTGAAAATGCTTCTTGGTAGTGATCCGACTGGAACAAGACGAAGATGTGCTCAACGAACAAGAGGGATCGATCAGATTGAAGGCGGCTTACCTAGTGAGTTGCCAAACAAGATTAGCAATGATGTTTGATGAAATCCGTTTTCAACAACTGATACCGGCTGATCCGATTTCAATGACCTGTCATGCCGTACTGGTCAAGTACCAATGTATGTGAATATTCTTTAAAAGAACAAGGTGATACAACAACAACAACAACAACAACAATATAATAAAATCTAGCAAAGTGAGTATCCATACCCAAATGAATTTGCGAAAAATAAATATACACTAAAAGTTTTATTTTATTTCCCCCTTGGTGATATTCCAAAATTTTGAACGGGGGGGAGGTGACAAAAGAAAAACTTGGTATTTGTTCCGGCCTAAATGATCCATAAATAAAAAAAATAAAAATAAAATCCATAGAAAATCAAGTTTTGCACACTTCAAAATATAGCCATGTTCGGATTAAGCTAATATTAAGTCTAAACCAATCTTAATGCTTAAAATAAAACCTATTTCAGCTTCAAGCTGTCCAAAATGAGACTGCTCTGAGGAAGTTGCTTTAATTAATCCGAACATTCTTGAAGAACAACATCGGATATAATCTCAAAATTTCGGAGGGATCAACACCACCGTTGAGTGAAGAACAGAACAGCGATCGAAACTGTACGCTTTGTGAAGACCATGACCACGTAGATGATATGGTCCAGTGTGATGTCTGCGATTTCTGGATCCATTATAGTAGTGCTGGTAAGACAACAGCTGTAAAAGAGATTCCGTACACGTGCTCAAAGTGCACAAATATGCTGAAGGTGCCGAAAGGAACCAAGAAGTCTGTCCCAAAGAAACCATCTAGCAGAAAGAATAGTGCGAGGAGTGATGCCGGATCCGAATCTGGAAAAGGAGGTACCAATGAGGTTAGCCTGGAGGAATCCCTAGACCAGTTGAAGCAGGAGAAAAACGGTGGAGGAAGAGAATCCTCCATGAAAAGCGATACGACGCTGAGCAGGAGATTTTTCAAACTATGGTTATCTTCCGTCACTCTTTCAACAAAGATTTTGCTAGTTTTAGGATTTAGGAATTCAATTATTATTTTAGTGAAGTAATGAAATTGGGTTGTTAGCGGAATGCTTAAATAAAACAGCAAAAAAGGTTATCTTCCATTTAATTCCACTTAATTAATTTTGGTATCCATGACAGATACGTATTTCGGATACGGGCGTCAAACAAATTAATGTTTCTAAATTATACCGTATGTGTGATAATGTTTGCACCATTGAGCAATGTCAAAACTAAAAAAAAATCTAAAAAATTTCGTTTTCGAGTTTTTTTTATTTATTCAAAGGAGGAATGTTTCTCAGAGTCTTAAACTATGTTAATCATCGATCGAATTTCCACTTGCTGCAATTACGGCCTCCACACGCTTCCGGAATGTACGGCTGGTTCTAATAATGTAGTCTGGATCCATTTCTTTCCAGGTACGGGTCAATGTTTGTCTGAGGCTTGCTGTACTCGGGTGGCGTTTAGAACAGGCCTTGGCCTTCATGACGCGCCATATTGAGTAATCCAGCGGATTAAGATCGGGGCTGGATGGCGGCCACATATCCTTCGCCCAGAACGGAAGATGTTCCTGCAACCACTTCTGAGGGCGGTTCGAGGTGTGGCACGGAGTCTCAACTTGTTCAAATACAACATTTGGCTTCGAAACCGTACTGTTCTTTGATCCACGGAAGAACATACTTACTTAAAATCCCGATGTAGACCTCCGTGTTGACCTCGTCGTCTTCTGGAATGAACACCGGGTCCATTTTTTTTGCCATCGGAAGCCACCAATCCAAACACCATAACGCTAGCAGGATGCTTGGTCAGATACACGTTCTTGTGCTCGTCGGCCACGTCTTTTACCAAAAGAGAACTAATATACCGGTCGGTTCTAGAATTTGATACGGGATCGGCGGTAAACATTCTCTCGTCGGTGAACGGGATTACCGGATTTTTTCGCTTAAGGAAGTTCAAGATTTTCTTGCATCGTTCGACTCGTAGCTCCCGAATGCGGCTGGTAATCATGTGAGTTTTTTCCATGCCCTCGACTTCGCCCCGCAATCTTCCTTTACGATCTTCCGTGCCGTAAAGTCACTGATCTCGTGTTCCTTTGCCATTTTCCTTATTGAACGCACTGGATTCACCCGAATCTTCCTTTTGATAGCAGCGATAACCATCGGAACCCGAGCTGACCTCGGACGACCTGTGGCCACCTTCGCGGATAGTTGTCCTTTCTTTTCTCGGTCTAAAACCTTTTTGACGGTCCACCGGGACACTCTCACGGCGATTGAAATGTCTTTTTGCGACATTTGCGCGTGGGACAAATCACGAATACGCTGCCACTTCGCCAGGGTGCAACTGTCAAACTAAGTAAATCACTTTCTTTTATACACAGCCTACTACGGTATGAGCTATTGGTTACGTGCATGCAAAGAAAACCAAGGCATTGTATGCTCAGGTGAAACGGGAACCTTATTTGTAAGATGGTGCAAACATTATCACGCATACGGTATTTTTCTCGCAAAAAAATGCATTTCTCGATTACTTTTTCGAAGGGACGCATCAGGTTTTGTAAACACAGCGTTTGATCGTCGATTTGGCGTAGCTGGTGGCTTGCCAGACGCATGCTAACGCTATAATCAGATAAGGCAAATTTTCCCCTAACCTGATGGTGGTGTTGGTATGCGTGGGCGAGCTACCGGTTACGCCAGACCGACGATCATACGCATTGCTTGCAAAAGCAGGTTACGTCCCTTCGAAAAAGTAATCGAGATTTTAAGATTTCACTCGTTTACAATCGTTTACGTGTGCAAATTTTGAAATCATCATCACTTTCATAGTTCTTCTATTCACCACGGGAGCCAACTTTGATTTGCCAATTGCTTGTCCAGCCACCGTTAATACAAAGTTGTTTGTGTTGACATCCAACACGGATAGAAATCTCCTTATACCTTTTGGCAAATTTCTATTGCTGATTATTCATAAAATGTATAAGTCAACTAATAAGCAGACACCTTGCAAAAAGTTAATGAAGATCATGTGTCAAATGAAATGTATAAGCGGTCACACATACCTTTTATGCATTCTTATAGAACCTATGTGGTTTGTCTTATGGAATGTATAAGGCTGATGTTTTGGCAAAAATGTATAAGTGAAACACATGAATAAAATAATTGATTTTCGTTTCGTGAATGATTTGGTCATGTTCGTAGGTCTTTCATAAAACATCTCCCTTGAATCACAAGAATCGCAAAGGACAATGCGTCTCCATGGTTTTGAAATATTTGTATGGAGAAGCTGCATTTATGTACCACCTACGGGTAAATGGGGGATTTTTTTTTATTTCCTTCTGATCTTGTTTTCATAATCGTAAATCATGCACCCCTTCCAAAGCACCCCCTCTAAAATTCTAGCCCATTTCGGCTAGCACTGCAAAGCAAAACAACCATCCATAAGTGAGTACCCCAGCCCGACCGAATAGAACACACTTTTCCGCGCAGACTCTCGCATGAACTTCCCTTCAAGTTGGTGAAAATCCACTCGCTCCCTCTCTCTCTCTCGGGGAAAATTTCCCATCTCCGTGTTTTCCCGCTCTGCAAACAAACAAATTTTTGCCTCTTTCATCTCCAGCCAGTTCAAGCCAAGCTGCAGCTCGTTTTGGAGTTCACATTTATCCGCAGATCTCTTCCCACCGTCAGTGGAACCAGTCGCATGTGCTACCAGAGTAGGTCAGTTTGTCGACTTTGATTCGGAAAGTGTTTTTCGTGGTAGGATTACCGAAAGCCTCGCTTCCTCTCTGCCCTCTGCAGGAACACGGCGGTGACCCGCGCGCGCGTCTCCACAAAGCACAGCTTGAAATTGTCAAGTGAAGTGCGAAAAGGGGGTTGTTTTCCCCTCGGGGCAGTCACAGGAATATATTTCATTGTGCGTATTGTTGAGTGTGTCGGTGTCGGTCTGTCGTGGAGGATCCAGGGCTGGGTGCCTGCTGCAGTCAGTGTCAGTGAGTGATGACGGGATGTGCGACGAGACGACGAGGATAAAGCGTTCGAAGAAAGTTGAGGTGCTGTTTTGATGCTAAAATAGAACGAGAAAGGGTAAACGTGGCGAAAGCTCAGCATAATTCAAAGGAAGGATTCAAACACGGTTTCCTGCTGTTTCTTTTCGGTTAGCGATAAGGTTGAAGGATATCAAAGAAATATAAACAAAAAGGGCAGACAAGTTAGGAATAACTTTTTCCTCCCGTTGGTTGTTGCCTTTTACGAAAAACGGTGAAAAGTGACGCAAATTGAAAGAAGACCGAAGCAAGAGATAAAAGTGCACGAAGTTTACCCTCGCGGATTCGCAGAAGAAAAACAGCCATAAGTTCCACGCTCAGATTGCGTTGATAATTAAAAAATTTCGATCCCTCGTCCATCAAAGTGTGCGCGCGGGAAAAAAAAAAGAGAAAACATAAAGCAATCGCAGCAGGCTGAGGAGTTTTCTTTGAGGAGCAGGAGGAGGAGGAGGAGGAAGGCCACTGCCGACGGTTGGAGGGCGGAAGTGAAAATTGCTTTTCGGTGTGATTTTTCCGATTTTGCGGGGTCTGTGGGGGCGGTGATTAAGTGAGGGAAATCGCAGAAAAAAAGGCAATAAAAAGAAGCAAAGTACCTTGCTCGGGGAGGAAAGAGGAGTGGCGAGTGAGGTTTGTGTGTTCGGCAGTGCACGATTTTCGTTTGCATCATTCGTGTGGTTCTTCCCGGAAAGCGTTGGAGCAACAGGGGAGGCAAGGGAGCGAATTACTATTATTGCTTCGGAAGCTAATGCAAAATCAAACCGGAGTAAGCGAAGCAGTAGCATTTAGGCATTGAAGTGCAGTAAGTGAGCAAGTGATTCTAAACACGAACGCGAAATCGTGTGCAAGCAGAAAATAAAAAATAAAAACAAGAAGAAATCTAACTCTCCTAATTGGATTATAAATTAGCCGGAAGGAGGAACAGCACCGCGCAGCACTAAGCTGAGCCGAGCCGAGACGAAACGAGCAAGTTGAGCGTGAAAATAAGCGGAAAATCCAAAGAGGTAAGTGAGTGCTGCTGACTGAGTGTGCTGGTAAACATTTCGTGAGCTGCAAAAGTGATTGGCATTGCTTCGGGCGATTGGAAAATTTTTGCCGCGTTATGCTTTGGCGAGTTTTTCCTCGTTGGTGAAGGCGGATGAGAGGGGGGGGGGGTGACTGGAAAATTTTCTCCAATGCATATTACTACTACCAACACGCTCTTACACCACACCGGTGGTACGTACGTGCGCCGAGCCGACTTTCCCGTCGGAAATGATGGAGATTGATGCCAGCTTCGACAGGTTTCAATCAATAACTCTCCCAGAGGTTGTCGATTCCAAAGTAATGCATAGCGTATAAGTAATCTTTAAAGATATTAATATTAAATATTCAGAAGTGCAATGTTGATGTGTGGAAAAGCGGCTGGATTTGAGATGCAATTGGAAAGGGAATGTCGAGAATGATGGCATCTTGTTACTTAATTTACTTTGATCTTCATGAGTGCCTACGTAAATATTCAGATTTCAGTCTAGTGATCAAGCTATTTAGCATCCGTCTTCTGCACTTTGATCAGAATCATAAGAATCTAGTGTTGGTTTCGGTTCAGGTTGTAAGAGTTCTGTTTGATTTCTACATGCATATGTGCAAATTCAGTGATTATGATTTCCACAGTTCAAATGTAACGAATGAACAAAGCACTTATCGAACTTCTCTATTTTTATCCGAGCATTAGTAACTTTTATGTTAACGATAAAATGAACTTAAGCGTCTCAGCTAGTAATGAAATATCAATATTTTCTGTAGACAATAATATTTATAAGGAATGGAGCACGCCTTTGCGATTTGCACGAAATGAAATTACCAGTGTCAGTGTCATTAAATGATCGAAAAGTATATAGTGGTATGGAATACAGTAATGACCCAATTTAAAGCCCTTAAAAATCTTTTCTTTTCCATGCGCTTTTTCAGTGGTCTTATTGTACCAAAGTATACCTTAAACATCCATACCCATGCTGACTTCGGTTATGATCACCTTCCAGTAACTTTTGAAATATCCCAAGAAATAATTTCTAATCCCAACAGCTCTACTTTCAATTACCATAGAGCTGATTGGGAGCAATATTGAATATTTATGATATATGACTTGGATCCAAATATTCCTTTGCAAGCTGATGCTGATTATGCTCTTGAATCTCTGACTTCTTCTATAGTTAAAGCAAGAGCTGCTTCAGTACCAAAACGCGAGTTTAAATTCGATTCAATTATAATAAACGACGATCTTCAGCTCTTGATACGGCTGAAAAATGTCCGTAGGAGGCAATATCAAAGAATACGTGATCCTGCCATGAAAGTTATCTGGCGGGATTTGCAAAAACAAATTAAAAAGCAGATCTCTGCCCTGAGGAACAAAACTTTTGAAAATAATGTTTTGAAATTAGTCCCAAATTCCAAACCCATTTGGAAACTCGCAAAATTTTTGAAAAAACCTTAAAAGCCTATTTCACAGCTTTAAGAAGGTGGTAAAATTTTGCGAGTTTCACCTCAATTTGAATATTTTAAATTCTTAGAATCTTCCACCACAGGACAGTCGTCTTTTTCGTGAGAGGAATCACCCCAATTAATGCATTTAGTTGGCATGTAGCACTGTTTGGTCCCGTGACCCCGTCCTTGGTACTTGCGGCACTGGGTGAGGTTTTGGAAATTTCCTCCAATCTTCCTGAAGTGTTCCCACTTCACTCGGACAGGGAGCATAAGGCTAACTTTTTCTAAGGTTTTAAGGTTGTTTAGTTCACTAGACTTGAAGTGAACTAAATAAAAATCATTAGAAATCTCGTTGTGCGAATCGCCAAGACGGGATTTCATTTTCATGTTGATTACTTGGATTGGTTCAACTCCAAGTAATTTTTTCAATTTATCCTTGATCCAATCCAGAGGTTCACCACTGGGCAAAACTTTCAATACAACTTTGAACAGACGTTCAGTTTTGGTTGCTGCTTCTCAGTAAGATAGTTGAGAAGACTTTTGAATCAGTCCAAGGTTTCAGCCGAGGGAGGCGACACATCTAAATCTCAATTCGAGATGCTCAACAAATCTCACACTAGCAAATCAATCTTCGAAAAATCTTCTTTCATTCTTTCCATCTACTTGCATCGCAAATCATCTTTTTACAAGAAATCTTCAGACTCTTCGTCAATCTTCTTTCTATCTACTCAGCTTGCACGCAGCTTACCACAACAAAACACATTTTTTCCTGTATCGTAGAAAGAGTCGCCCCCCTCGGTTTCAGCCAATACACGGCATTCACCCCGACTGCCAATTTGAAGTGAAAACATGAATTTAACGAAGTTAAAAAGTTCGGAAGTGGTTATCACAATAGGGGGGACCTTTTGCTTCTTGGCATTAAGCCGGGAATGTTTAATGGAATTTTCCCTAGATGAATGATCCACCATCCGTGAGCATTTCAAACTGATTGCACAATTAAATGTCATCAGAAGGGGGATCACGAGGTTGTCCTTTTCTTTTGCGTGTGGGCGCCATGGCGGCAGTAAAACGTTTCTCCAAATCGATTTTCTATAAGAATCTGAAGGATTGAAGAAGAGTTTTCCAAATCGATGTCCAAGCAGAATTACCTCGGGTAGGGTCCAAAAAAGGATCTAAGAGGAATAAGAGTTGAAGTTCACCGATTAGGCGATCTTGGATCGATCTTTGAGAGATCGATCTTTTTCATCTCGAATTGCGATTTCCAGGATCGATTTTTTTGTTTATTAAAAAAGTGTAAAAATCGATCTTTCTGTTCGATATTTTAATCTTCAAGGTAACAAATGAATGTCCTTTCTTTTAATTGCACTATTTTTTTTTCAGTGTGTATAGAACAAACGACCTAATCTATTTATGTAAAAATGAATTTCTGTCTGTCTGTCAGAACCTTATAGACTCGAAAACTACTGAACCGATCGGCGTGAAAAATTGTATGCAAGGGTTTTTGGGGCAGGGAAAGGTTCTGTAAAGGGGGGCTCCCATACAAATGAAACATGAATTTCTGCATAGCTCTAGAACTAATCAAGCAAATGGAACCAAATTTGGCAAATTTGGGATATGGAGGTTATAGGAGGCAGCCCTTTAGAAAAATGAGGGGGGGGGGCACGTACAATATAGCATATTTTTTTAAAATTGGCGCATAAACTCAAGCTAATATTGAATCCCGAGCAAGGCCGGGTACACTCAGCTAGAGTTATATAAAATAGTTGACAGCAAAGACGAGTAGTTCCACGTTAGGAGCTGTTCGTAAACTACGTAGATTCTTTAGAGGGGGGTTGAAAAATGTCTACGGTCCAAACGAACTCAAAAAAAAATGTACGGACGATTGCCTACGCGGGAGGCCGGGGTCTAAAACCTCTAAAAATCGGTCTACGTAGTTTATGAGCAGCTCTTTATCAAGCTAATATTCCATGATATGGAATTATGATGACTGCCGCCATATTATTACATTTTTTTACAATTAATCATATTGTCGAGCAGTTTTGAGACGACCTTCTACCAGCGATTTTACGGAAATGAAACAATAAATTTCAGAGTGTTTAAGCATATTGCAAATAAGACCCTATTTTCTCGAGGTTGTAGAAGAAAAAATATCAAAATATTGTTCCACGTTAAAGTTCTAATGGTAGGAAACGTCATTTTAAACTGCTCAATTGATATGATCCATTGAATTTGTCAATTGAAAGCATTGCTGGCATTAATTCCATTTCTGATTCTGTCTTTTTTTCTCACCTCCATTTAAGGAATTTATAAATAAGTTATGATAAGTTATGATGAACTAACAAATCTCTGTTGTTAACACGAGTAAATGCAAATGAAAAATGAGATTATGTTATTTCTTTCAAATACCATAAGTATAATTAAGCATCATGAAGAAAAGATCGATCTTCTTCCCTTACTTATCACATATAAGCTTATTGCGTTTGTAGTATATAGATTAGATGTTGAATAATAATGATAAAAAAAAATGATAACTTTATTCGAAGGTATACAAAACTTGACAGTTAAATCGAGTACTGAAACACTAAATTAACCACTTCATTCGAGCAGTTAAAATGACGTTTACTACCAATCGAACTTTGAAATAAAACATTATTTTGAGATTTGCTCTTCTAGAACCTCGAGAAAAATAGCCAACATTTGTGCGTTTCATAAAAAAATAGAAATTAGTTGGTCCAGTTTTGTGAAATCGCTGGTAGAAAGTCACGCCAAAACTGCTTGACAAAGTGGTTAATTTGAGTAAGTAGTTGGCGTAAAACATGATAGAGGTAATAGAAAAGAGCATGTGAACAAAATCTCATCGTAAGGGAAAATCCCGACACAGTAGCAGCCGCTAGAATAGCAGCAGCACTGGAACCAGTCGCAGCCGTGGGAGCTGATTCTGCAAAGATCGATTCTTTGGAACCGATTTAATCGATGGATCGATTCAAGTGCCGTAAATAAAAGCGCCCAATCGTAAGTCGAACAACGTCGGTCGGCACCGGTGGTGTAGTGGTAATCGTGACTACTTTCTCGCCCCAATGGGTCTGAGTTCAATCCCAGGTCGGTGGGATTTTTCTGAGGCATAAAAATCTCTGGTCACGTCTTCCTTCGGAAGGGAAGTTAAGCCGTTGGTCCCGGCCCATGTGTGTGTTAAATGGGTGCGATATTCTACGCAGGAGTGGAAGCTACCTTCCAGCACATTTGATTGCCGTCAATCGATGGCAATCGATGTCCGTCGGTGATTGGCACTAGATTGCGGAACAGAGACCAACATTAAATAAAAGAAAATTAAGTAAGTCGAACAAGGTAGAACATTTGCAGGTTATTACTGGAAAGGCACTGATAAGTGATGTTTAAATTTGTGGTAGCTTTAGGTAGCAGTTACACTTTCTTCAGCAAAAAGCAAATAGATCCGGACGACAAGCGATTACGATGCGAACTCAATACCAGTCATTGTTTTTGCGATTTACTCGGTTGGTAGTTTATGTTTTAAAGCGTTAAC